TATTTAGTGCAAAAGAGGAAGAATGAACACACCCTATTCAGTGTTGCCAGAACTCCCAGTTCAGTGATTAGGGCTAAAATGGGATTCTGGTTATGGCATAAGTTATAATGTAGCTCTGACACAGAAGTATAATTCAGGTGTAACTTCACTAATGTCTTAGTGATCCTCTGTTGTTTGACTGAAGTGGTGAAACAAGTTTCTTTCCACCTTCAGCGGGAACAGTTTTCTTAGTGTTGTGCTCTGCTGGAGTTTGTTGTAGTAGCTCCTTTTTTAGCTGCTGAATCACCATCAGAGTGGCTCGAGGTGTGATGAGACACTTTTCCATCGCTTAAAAATTCCTAACTGGCATTATATCAGATGATGTGATACCGAACCACCCTACCAAACACCAAACACATTGCATCTCACAGGATAAACGAAGATTTCCTTGTTAAGTGTTTGGATTGGTTTACTTTTGTTAACTCGCTCTCTATTTTACAGATCAATGTGAAGGATCACCGCTTTGCTAAGTATGTGGAGAACCACATCTCATTCCACGACCTGCGTGCGTTCGTTTTCCAGAGGAAAGACGACATGGAGAAGTTTATGATCGAGGTCAGAGTGCTGCAGGCTGTCGCCTGGTTGGAGGAAAATATTTCATCCGATTAGAAATGTTAGTGAAGCTAATGATGTGTTTGATCTGTGGTGACCCTCAGGTCCGTGACAAGATGAACTTGAAGGTGAACTCCATCTGTGCTCCGGAGGAGTCATGTTCTAAGCGACCGCCATCCCGAAATATTGAGTCCCTGAGGTGAGAGAAAATAAATTTAGTTCAGTTTTTTAAAAATCAATACAGTATTTTTGTTGTTGTTGTTGTTGTTCTTTTTCATCCTGATGTATCCGTGCATCTGTTGCATCTTTTTACTTCTTCTTACTGGCTTTCAGGCGTTTCGGGTTCTTCACCTACCTCCGAGAGATGTTTGACGCCCCCGATGAGGTCATGAGTTACCTCTGTCACCAGTACAGGGTGCATGACGTGCCAGTGGGCAACGAGCGAACCAAATCCATGATTAAAACGGTACGCTTGTCTTCAAAAAAAAGCTTCTTAATGTAAACGAATAAAACCCCACATTGTTCTCCTTAACATCAAAATCTCCTGGGGGTCTGTCGCTTTTAACTTTGCTTGTATTTATTGCTTTTGTGAAGGAAAGATTTTGACACTGACCCCGATCTGTCTTGCTCAGGTGATTGAGGAGCCCTACCTCAAGGTGCTGTACACGACAGAGGAGAGGTACACTGTCAAAAGGTCCTTTTACTCAAACAAGATAAGCACCAGCAACTCTGCAGTGCACCCGTCCCAGTACCTCACCATCACTGTGGATGCTGAGGAGAAACGGCAGCTGGAGCAGCAGATGAAGGTAGGAAACCGTTGTGTGAAGAGAGCTGGAACGACAGCAGCACCTCGAGACATTTCAGTTTATTATATTGCTTAAAGTCCGTGTAGAGCAGTAATAAATGTGCGCTTTGAGTTTGTCATGTAACAGAAAAATGTGCTTTAAACCACTCAAGGATTAACAAAATTCACCAAGTGTATAAGATTAGGTTTTAAAATTGTTAATAAATGTGCTCTGAAACACTGAGGGGCATGTCCGATCGAGGGGTTGATTGCTTGAGTGTTAAGCAATTTGGACAATGAGCCGGGTTTGTTTTAAGGGGGAAATTACCAAAAACCCTTCATGCAAAACTGATGAAAAAAAGTTTTGTGTGTAACTGCACACTTTAGTAAAACTTAGGCGACCTACTTTTCACTTGTTTTCTGCAAACTTTTTTTAAACATGTGCTTCATTCTCCTGCGCGACCAGTCCTGTGAGTCAAAGCTGCGAGACATCGACGAGCGGATGAAGGCCTTGCAGAAGGAAGCCGTCGCACTGGACCGCCGTGACAATGAGCTGTTGGCAGAGAAGAAGGGTCTCTCTGAACTAAAGGGGAAAAAACGACAACTGGAGCAGAAAATTAGTACCAAACAGGACAGGTAAGCTTCATTTAAAGGGACAAAAGGCTTAACAGTGACTTTCGTCATATGTCTTAAATGATCTCTGCACAGAGGCATCAGCTTGGTTATGAGATTTCAAAAACTCATCTGTTTCTTCCTCTGTGTTTAGTCTGAAGCAGATGGAGCAGAATATTATTGACCTGACAAAGATTGAGGAGGAGACTAAACAGAAAATTGCAGCTGTAAATGCTGAGAAAGTGACCGTAGTGACTGCATTCATGGCCCAAATGAAGGTAAGGGAACCTGATTGCATTGCTTGTGTCAGCTGTGGTAGAATGGCATTAAGCCCTTCTCTGTTTTTATATCATCTTTATAGCAGATACTATTGAAAACATCTACGATTTAATAATTTCACGATTGCATTTTTTCTATTCACTTGTCTGCGTGACCTTCAGCTGAGGGCCAAGCTGACGATGGAGAAGGTGCATCTGGCGTTGGAGACGGTGGGGCTGACGGCAGAGAAGAACAAACTGGAGAATGACTGCAGAGAAGGTGCCTCTGAGCTGAGGACCACCGATGTAAGTATTTAGATGGGGAGCTTGCTCGTCTGAGGATCTGGAGGTTTTGTATTGCAGATTTATGCTTACTTGTCACGTTTGGGTTTTTTTAAGCAAAAATGCAGCCGTCTGGAGCAGAGAAAGTTGCAGCTGACAGACCAATGCAAAGGGCTGTTGAAGAGAGCAAAGGCGATGTGTAAGATGCAGCCTGATCAGTCGTTACCCGAAGACCTGCGTAATGTGAGTGTTCTTCACAGTTTTATGTGT